GAATCATCCGACTAGCTCGATAGCAGCTAACTCTAGGCGACAGCTTGCCGGTGATCACTGAGTGCATTGCATGTGAGCCGAATCGGAGTGTGGCATGCCAGCGAGCGAGTCGATTAAGACAGCTAATCGATTAAGGCACAGCCCACGCAGCTGTATGAAGTAGCGGTAGAATACCGGCGAAACACGGAGTGTGGACTTTTGCTTTGTATCTTGGCTGCCAGTTTGGTTAATTACAGTAGTCGCCGAAAATCACGCAACATGCCAACATATGCGAAAGATTCATACTCTTTCGCTAAAGGCATTGGCTCAGGTTGTGATACTGATTATCGTGTAGTCTATTCTGAAGTCAGTTCAGTCATGAGAGGATGCGTAATTATCATGTAGTATATTCTGAAGTCATTTCAGTCAGGATGGGAAGCCGGATTTTTAACGAGCTTCGTTCTGACCACTAGCAAAACGTATCTATTGTAAAAACTGCTTACTTAAGTAGAATGCCTTTTTATCATTTAGTTTGACTGCTTTTGTAAATTCAAAGATATTTTATAGTAAACATGCACGGAAAAATTATTTCTTGTACTTGTTTGATAGAGAATTACGCCTTGTTTAAATGCTATGCTCTAAGAAGGGGTATCTACCGGTTTTAAAAAAGTTGCTCAATTGCCGATAAATTTTCTAACCTAGTGACTGCTGCATTCGAATTCAAGGCCAAAACTGAGCACTGTGTACATCCTGTTTAAGGAAAAGTAAATTTTCGCGTACAGTTTGAGGAAAAGTCACATAGTTGTCATAAAATGTTGAAATAGATGTGGAGCATGTTTTGTGCAGTATAGGCAACATTAATAAATTGACAGATACGATGCATTACGAATAAACACCTCAAAATTGTAAAAAACTCATATTTAGCAACTTTTCTTAAAAATCAAAAGCTACCCTTTCTTTGAGTATAAAAGTAAAGGAGGCCTCAGGCCTTCCGCGCGTCGGGAGTTCAGACTACTATTGAGTTTCTGTATATAGTCAACAACTGCAATAGGTTTTCTGCCTTCTCCTCCAATACGGAACTGGGTGCGATAATTGTAGTGCTCCTAAAGATACCCTTTCTCTAAGTATAAAAATTTAAAGAAAGCGTAATTTTATATCAAAC